TGCGAGGGAGTGGGGGCGCCCGGGCCGAGCCCCCCGACGGCGCGGACGGCGGCTTCCCGCTGCTCAAGATATCTGCCCTGCTCCTCCTCGCCTACATCCTCCTCCGCTGTCGCCACGCTGTCCGGCAGCGTTTCCTGCCCGGGTCTCCCCGCCTGGGGGGCCACTCCACCTATTCTCCAAGACACTTCCAAGAGCCCAGCCTCGACATCTTGCTGGAGAGTTACTACGAACATGAGGTGCGCCTGTCACCGCACGTGCTGGGCCACAGCAAGGCACACGTGAGCCGGATCGTGGGCGAGCTGGTGCGGGCTGGCCGCGCCCGGGGGTCCCCAGGCCCTATTCCTGGGGGCACATTGGCCTTGGCCTTCCGCGGAGACTTCATCCAGGTGGGCAGCGCGTATGAGCAGCATAAAATCCGCCGGCCGGACGCCTTCGACGTTCTGGTGCCATTGCGCCTGCCGCCGCTGGTGGCGCTGGAACCGCGGAGCCTGGGCGCGCAGCCCGCTTTGGCCCCAGCCTTTCACGGCTGCTTCGTGTGCGCACTCAAGGCGCCGCCGGGGGCCTCGGGGAGTCACTGGCTCCGGGACTGCAAACCCTTCGCTGAGGGCTTCTGTGTGGATGTGCGCGGGCGGCGCCACCTCTCGGCCACCCTGGTGCTGCGCTGGTTCCAGTCGCATCTGCAGCGTTCCCTGGCCACCGTGCGCTACAGCCTGGAGGAGCGCTGTCGGGTCACCCTGACTCCGGGGGGCCTGGAGCAACCTCCCACCCTGCACATCCTGCCCTGCCGCACCGATTATGGCTGCTGCAGACTTTCCATGGCTGTGCGACTCATTCCCGCCGTCCATTTGGGTGACGGTGTCTTCCTCGTGGCTCCACCACCGCCATCCTCACCCGTTGGGCCCCTGTCGGAGCTCCCGGAAGGCCTGCGTTCTGATGCACTTTGGGGCGTGAACACAGCCCGCCAGGAGCAGAAGCTGCTAGGCTGGCTGCAGGAACGGGCCCCTCCAGGTGCCTGCTACCTCAAGTGCCTGCAGTTGCTTAAAGCCCTCCGAGATCTGGGCGCCCGCGGGCTGGACCCAAGGGCTGCCACCCAGTGGGGACGCATCCTGTCCTCATACGTGCTCAAGACAGTGCTGCTGGCGGTGCTGCTGTGCGAGAGGGCGCCCGAGCAAGGCTGGGATGAGGCTCACCTGGGCAAGCGCATGGAACAGTTAGTTCGGTTTCTTAGGGACTGCCTGCTGGGACGCCAGACACTCTTCCACTGTGTTCTGGGCCTTGGCGGGGCCGCCGCTGAAGTGGGCCCACTGCCCAAGGTACTTCGTGAAGCCGCCCCAGTTGACCTCCTGGCTGCTTTCGATCGTCAGGCCCGGGAACTCGTGGCTGCACGGTTGCTGTCCACATGGCGAAGGCTGCCCCAGCTTCTGCGGGCCTATGGGGGTCCCCGCTACCTTGCCAGGTGCTCTCCACCCCGGAGTCAGCGCCCCCAGCACACCCAGGGCTTCCCCAAAGATGAACCATAAACCCTGGCCTAATGCTCCTAAAGCCTCTGCCACCAGGTGGGGGTGGGGATGGCCATGAAGCCAGTTCAGCTCCAGAAAGATGAGCTGCAGGAGGTGTTGGAAACTTCGGAGGATGATATTTGGTGGCTTAAATGACACCCTTGGGTCCACAGTCCAGTATAGTTATGGCAACTTCTTCACACCCACCAGGGTGTCCTAGGCAGGCTCCAGAAAAACATCCAACAGCAGCAGCTAAGAGTTAGTCCAAATGTGGGTTTGTGTGGAATGATTCTGTGGAAGGATCTGCAGATTTTAGGAAGGTCCCGTGAAGGAAGAGAGAGCTGGCCGCAGGAATAGTTCCCTCTGTTGGTTTTTGTGTCACAGATCTCTCTGCCCTCAAACTTAAAGAAGTTAAATTTTTGGGGGCTTGACGACTTGCTAGGTCCTGGGTTCCTGATTGATTTTGTAAAAAACATAAATATCTACAACTGGAATTGAAGTTCTAGTCTAGGGGCTACTGTTCTGAGGAACATAGTTTCCACTCTTCAAATGAATATTAATGTATTTTTTAAAAGGTGTAATCGTTAGTGTTTGATGGGATTGTGAAGAAGTAAGTCACACAGGTTGAGAGGCAGCCAAGAATTGGTTAGAGAAAATTCCAGAGCAAATAGCACTTTATTTTGATCAATTCTTTTATTTTGTGATAATCGCTAGTGCCAAGTGTTACATCTAAAAGGGAGACTAGCTCTATTTACTATTAAGAAAGGTGCAGTCTTGAAAAGCTGGCTTACTTTATTTACATCCCTCCAGGCACATGCCAGAATGTGTACCAGTCAACAGCCATTCATTGAGCCCATGCTGTGATCCAGGCACAGTGCAAAGTAGCATCAAAGTGCACGTTTAAGACAACACCGGGGAGGGCGGAAAACATGTTGGGTCTCGAGAAAGATGTATTTTAGTCTTTGCCTATCAAGGAGTCTCCCTGGAACTTGCTGCTGGCTGCAGACAAGAACCTCTTTTTAAAGCTTTTAAGCAAACTCCTTTGCATGAGATTTCTTTCAGAGTTCAATGAGGTAATGAAGAGGAAATGCCTACTGTAGTGCCTAACTTGTAGTTATTGCTCTCAATGCTCAGTAATGGTTAGTGGTTGAAAGTTATTCTCCTGTTGCCAAAGCTGCCTTTAAGGGGTGCTAAGGCGACTTTGAAAAGCGGATGTCAGCACAGGTCTTACAAAGCATTTCATTGTGTATAGTTCAGTATCTGGGGCTCGGTATTTGAAGATCCACGACTCCCTGGTCAATCAGCAGAGGAGAAATACAGAAGAGAGCATGAGGAGATGGGTGGAGATGAAGGGAGATAGCCCTTGTCAGCTTTTTTTTTTTCTTTTGTCCTTTGGACAGAAATATACCAGGTTGGGTGTGTCTTGCAACCAGAAGGAGCCCCTTCTGAAATCCCTCTTTGTCCTCCCAAATTTCTAACAGCCCACAATTCCAAGTTTAGAATGGTCCATCCTATGCTCTCCTACTAGAAACTGCAGCCAGTCCCAGTGTTACTTTGGGATTTTTTTTTTTTAAACAAAGACACGTACTCTCTTAGGCTCTTAAAGGGTAAAACTTGGGAGACAGAAATAGCCACCTGAATAGGGCCATTGTTTAATTCCTGAGTTACTTTGAGGGAACTCTAAACTTTCTTTAAGGGACCTAGTTGGCCACTGCAGGAAATCATTGTGAATAAATGATTTATAGGAAATCCTCATCAGAACTGCAGAGACTTCTTACATCCTTTGCAGCCTTGGACTGTAAGAGAAACAGTTGCAGATGTTCTGCTTTCTCCTTGAGGTTGTTTTGGGGAGAGTTCCTCTTGAAACCACAAAGATCATTCCTAGCTTTTGAGGTCAGTGTTAGGTTATAAGGTACTGCATTTAGCAAAGGGACCAGTCTACCAGCTTTCTGCAAAGATATAAACTGTACAGAGTTCAGTTTCCCCTGTAGTCATTTAAGTCTACTGGAGTGGGGGACATTGAGGCTCTGGAGGGATTATAAAGCTTTAAAAGCTGAATTTTTCAAATATTTCTAGCTAAGTTGATAGGTTCCTTTTTTTAATCTTTGTAGTGTTTTGAAGTTTAAATCTGGTAACATACTGTTCTTGTAGGTTTTTATTTTTATTTTTTTCTTCAGGTTAATTACCCAAAGCCTCATCCATCCTCAATATTTTAAATTTTTATTACTATTTTTTAATTAATGGGCATTGTATTTGTTAATTTTTTTAATATTAATGTTTTATTTAAATGCCATGCTGAGCAATTGTTCTCTGGACATGGTAACCAAAACTTAGAGTTTTCGATCGATTTTGATCAATGTTTAGTAATCCCAAACATGTACTGTGTACAAATGAAATAATATGGCATATTAGCCAGGTGTGATGGTTGCCCAAGGCACTTAAATTAAGCTCAGTTCTGTACTTTATTAGGGCTCCGTCATGATCTTGATCTGAAAAGTACACATTTTTGGTGTATACCTGGTACTGGAGATTCATATTTGCAAATAATCTTATACAGGAAGGCTCAGAATTGCTTACGTTTAAAAAAAAAAAAAGATTAATTGTCCAGGCAGTGCCCAAAGAAAATGTTTGGAGAAAATGACTCAGCCATTTTGCCACGAGACACCCTTCAGTAACTCCACTGAGCAGTCTTGGGAGCCATCCTAGAATGCTCCAGGGCTGAGAGTAGGAGGTGGGGTTTGCAAAATGAAACTGAAGTGAAAGAAGGTAGAATGTGAGTGAACCAAGAGAAATCTGAAGGACTCGGGAAGTAGGACCTAAGATGGAAGTGAAAGGAAGGAGAGATGGGGTGGAAATCATGGGGGTGGGAGAGAGGTTTGGGTTAGGAAACACATTTTTAGGTATGTGCTATATCAAAACCAGGGGTCACAAACTCAGCAGCCTGCAGAAGCAAGGTAGAGAAGGGGTGGGTGGGCAGTGGGGACCCCCTGTCTTAAGGGAAACAGCCATTATTCGGCTCCATGCAGGGGAAAGGGGTACAGAGGGGCTGGAAATCAGGATTTTTTTTTAATTAAATTTCTGATTTTGAAGTAATTTTAAAATTTCCAAAGTACCATGTGGGCCAAACAAAACTTTCGGTTAAGTCTGCAGACCACCAGTTTACGACCCCTGACTTACACAGTTAAACCCCCAAGTATGTATAAGGTTATATTTATTGTTATGGATATGATGTTGTTATACTTAGTTGGGGGAGTGATATCTCAGTCTTCTTTATCTCTCAGAGCTAAGCTTTATTGTAGAAACAAACCAAAAATATTAACATGGCCACAGATGACACTTAACTCACAATTCCCAGGAGGACCCTCTGGTGGAACTGTTCTTTGCAGTCAGATCCTCCAGCAAACCATGAGGCCCGTTCTTGGCATTTCCTTCCTGGTGAGTCCGGGCTAAACTCCTAGGCTGTGTTGGAGTTTAAAGATGACTCATCAGGAAGGATTGCAGAATAACTTGTTTCTTTTTTATTTGCATTTTATTCTTATTTTAAAATTTATTATTGTTATTATTTTATTTTTATTTTTTTAGCAGTGTCCTTGCCTGTGCCTTAGCAAGGATAGCTGGTGGCCTTGAACACCAGAAAAACAGTGCTGGGTCTTTGGGCCAAGCTTCTTAGGCTTGTTACCCTTCCCGTTGCCAAGAACGCTGTTCTGATCAGATGTGTCTCTATCCCTTTCTGACTCAGTGGCTCCCACCAAAATCAACATTCTGAAGGAATGAACCTAATGGCTTCCAGAGAGTTTCTTTTATCCTCCTGGAGTAAATCACTTTTTCTGTAAAATGTGGCTTTTGACCTTGATGCTGAAGACTTAATTTTCCCCACCCACCCATGAAGAGGAAAAAATGTTTCTCAGTGGTGGAAAAAATGAATCTCATTAACATTTCCAGTGTCCCTGGAGAGGGAGCGAAGTTCAGTGTTATCATGTGGCATTTGTTAATTTCTTTAAAATCTCATGTCTATTACTAAGACACTAGTGTTTATTTTTCTATACCTGCACAGCTCATGATTTGGTGGGGATAAAGGAAGTATAAATTGGGAGCAGGTGAAGATACATGTGAACTTGTGTACAGAGAGAATAGACTAAAATGTGCGGCTAAATTATATGGAATCTGGTTTTTGAAGTATCAGATATTCAGGAATATTTTGAGCATCTTTTGCTTTAAAAAAAAGTGCCTTGATTTAGTCACTTGACTTTAAAACATTCCTCTTATTGTGATTTTTAATGTGTGTTCTGACCCCAAACTGTGTATTATGATGCAGTGTCAGCTGCCGTCAGAGCATATGTTTTGTCCCAATAACAGAGACTAAAGAGTTAATAAATGTGGTTCAGCTGCTACAGTGGTGTGAGTAAAAGGCGTTTAGTCACACCAGGTTTCTATGGCCCGAATAGCTGAGGCCTTCCATTTGTTTTCTTTTTCAGGTGGGAGTAAATTTGCACTTTTAATCACATGGATCATTTGGGGGCCTTGTTCTTTTATACTTTGCTTTGTTAATAAAGGATCTTGTAGAAACCTCTGGACTGGACATCAGATTTGGGGAGGGGTCTCTTCTTCCCTGTGGCTGCCCTGACTTATGATTCCTTACCTGCTCTCAGTGTCTGGGGGTGTGGGAGACTTTCCCACACAGCAAAGCTGGGATCGTCGCTTGTACAGAACTGGCTCCATCCACAGGTGGGAAAGGAGGCCAGTTCAAAGCTCTGCAGGCTTACAGCCTGGAGTCCTGCCTTCCAGTCTTCGTTTTCCTTGCCTAGAACCTTCTGCCCATGCCCCTCTTCTAGCCTCCTCTCCTCCCACTTCCACACACACTCCTAAATGCAGTTCAAGTCTTGGCCTGTGGCTAATTCATAGCTCAAGAATTTTACCCAGAAATCTCTCAGGCCCTCAGGCCCTCTGCAAATGGTAAACATTTGCTAATATGAAAAACCACCGGTTTAGTGAGAGATGGCAGCTTGGAGGCTAGGTTGGACTCTTCAAAGCCTTGGAGCCAGTGGAAGTTTAGGGAAACTTGTACCCACAGGCTGATTAAACAGTAGTTGTGTAGGACACTTGCCCAATGGAAAAGAGGCGGGGGGGGGGTTGCCTTTAGTTTTTTAACAAGTAGTCATTCAGTGGCTATTGCCCCAGGCATGGAGGACACACGCAGTGATGACAAAGACAGACGTGACCTCTTTCTCATGAGCACAGACTGTTATGAGAGGCAGGCAGTTACGACGTCTCCATACAGTGGTGGATGTTAGTTGGGGGGAGGGTTATGGAAACACGGAAGAGGGCACCTTGTGCAGTTCAGGGAGGGCTGCTTGGAACAAGTGATGTCTAAGTCCAGATCCAAAGACAGGCTGGGAGCTGGGCTGGAGAAGAAAGCCTCAGGCACAGAGGTGAAAGGAGCATTTCAGTTTGGCTGGAAAGTGGGGACTGGGCGCGAGGAAGCTTCAGAGGCCAAGGATGAGAAGGGAGAGTTAGGAAGGCACCAGGACACCAGGGGTATTGAAGCCAGAGCTGCTCAAACTGGAGTGTGCAAATCACCTGGGAGTCTGTTAGGATACAAGCTCTCATTCATCAGTGATGAGAGAGAATCATTGATCAGCTGCCTCCTGCACACCCCTTATGGGGGTTGAGCCTGAAACACAAGTATGTGCCCTGACCGGGAAGCGAACTGTGACCTCCTGAGTCATGGGTCAATGCTCAACCACTGAGCAACACTGGCCGGGCGAGACTGCTTTTCTAACTAGCTTCCGGGTGAGAGTGCTACTGCTGATTCAGGGGCCGTGCTTTGATTGCAAGGCTGTAAACCACACTGCAAGTTGGGACTGATCCAGAAGATACTGGATAGGCAAGAAATGGCAGCGTCAACATTTGAGTTTGGCTCACTCTGGCTGCAAGGAGGAGACTGGATTAAGCAGGGGTTGGCAAATGATTTATTTTTTTTTAATTTTTGTGTAAGTAAAGTTTTATGGGAACACAGCCACACCCACTCAGTTACATACTGTCTCTGGTTGCTCCCACCCTGTGGGTAGAGTTGAGTAATTGGGACGCAACACTGAAAATACTTAACTCTCTGGCTCCCTACAGAAAAGATTGCTGGAAGTAATCAAACTGGAAGTCATCAGAGGCTGCAGTGGTCCGGGCCTGGATGGGGCGGGGTGAGTGGGATTGAAATAGGAACAGGGAGACCAGTTACCGTAGAGACAGAACAGTGTCAGAAGTAGGGCCAGAGCTTTAATGCCAAGAGACCAGTCTTCAAGTCTTGCTTCCTGCACTTCTCTGTGTCTCTCTTTGCAAGTTACCTAATCCTCTCCGAACCTCAAGTCCCTCCTCTGTAAATGGGATTCGTAACAGAACCTCCCTCATAGGAGTAGTTGGGGAGTAGGTGCGCTCGTGCCTGCAAAGTGCTTAACATGTATATTAAGCACCCAGTGCAAAGCAGTGTAGAAGTCATGATCAGAATGGGATTGTCGTTCAATCTGTGTCTCCGGCCTCTTCCTCTGCTCCCGTTCCTGCTCATTCTTTCTCCGCTGCAGGATTGTTTCCATTTTGTCCACCCAGCCATCTCTCTGCTACCCAGACTTTGTTCATCTCTTTCCTTGATGCCCATGATGTTCCTTCTGTGAGAAGCTCTCACTCTGTGCACCATAGTGGGCTGATTACCAAAACAGTCCCTGTTCTCCCACCCTTCCTCTACCCATGCCCTTTGCAAGTGACTTTGTAGTCTCCCATCAAAAAGGGGAGGGGCCTTCTGCCTACTGCTAGAAACTAGAGTGGCTTTGTGACTTTTCCTTAGTCAATAGAATGTGGGACCGCACATTCCTTTAGAGCACAATTTAATATCATATCACAGTAGGCATTGTGCTAGTTCCTAGTTCCGGGCCTAGGCCTCAAGACACCTTGCCTGCTTCTCATTGTTTTCTTGGAAGCCTGCCTTGCCACGTGAGGAAGAGAGACCTTGTGACCTAGCCAGGCCTCTCATCAGAGCTGGTAGCCAGCACCTGTGAGACAGGAGGTGGGGCCATCCCAGACCAGCCCCACAGCTCCCTCTTCCCCAGCTGACATGACCACCAACTGATTGAAACACTCACGGGAGCCCATTTAAGACCAGCTAAACCTGGCCCAGGTCAGCAGAACCACTCAGCCGGCCCATAGCAATAATAGACATTGTTTTAAGCCACTGAGTTAGTGGTCGTTTCTTGCTCCGTCACAGCTAACGGCTGTGGAAGCCGGCAGATACAGATGCTAGCAGGGCTGCACTGGAGTCAATACAGGCTGTCCTTGACTTCTGTGCTTCTGACTTTCAAACAGCCAGACTTTGATATAAGCACTTAACTGACAGTGAACCACCGTCCCCACAGCGAACCCAGGTTCCCTCATCAGCTGACGCACAGTGGGCTGCTGCCTCCCATTCGGTGGTCAGGTGCGGCAGCGTTGCCGTCTCTGAGCAGTGTGTTTACACAGCTGTTGCACTTCGTTCCTGTATTTGCCCTTATCTTGTAAAAACAAACGGAAGCTGGGAAAGCTAAGCGCTGATTCAGGTGACAAAATGCCACAGGTCTCAAAGGTAATGCATTTATGACCCTGATTTGGTATCCCCAACATGGCTCAGCTTCGGCTTCAGTCAGATAGATGCTGGCTGGTGGGAAGCTGGTGGGCAGCGCCTTCAATTGTAAAGGACTGAAATGGCAGTGAGGAAGGGCATTTAGGAAACAAACAGAGGCTTATATGTTCTCATCAGCCAGAAGCCTACAGGTAGGCAGCCAGCAGTACAGGGATGAAGCTGGGATCCAGGTATCGTTTTGCTCTACCATTTTCATTTTTATCCTTATGCTTGTCATGTCAAGATCCCACTGTGGCTAGGACAGGCATGGAGAAGAAAAAATGGATTAGGGAACACCGCAGACTTCCTCTTACAGCTCATTGGCTGGAATGGTGGCACATGCTAATTCTTAGCAGCAAGGGAAGCTGGTACCCGTCATACAGCAGCTCTGAGCAAAATATGCAGGAAGAATGGTGTTTGTGGGTAAATAAGAACCTGCCTCATAAGTGCCAGAAACAAATAGAAGATTATGTCAAAGTAGTGAGAAGTAATTAGAGAATTTATAATTTCATAATTATATAATTTATACTTGCTTAAATCCTAAAATATAGTAAAGGCTCCTTTATAATTTCATAATTATATAATTTATACTTGCCTAAATCCTAAAATATAGTAAATGCTCCAAAAATGTTAGGACAGGCATGGAGAAGAAAAAATGGATTAGGGAACACCGCAGACTTCCTCTTACAGCTCATTGGCTGGAATGGTGGCACATGCTAATTCTTAGCAGCAAGGGAAGCTGGGAAAGAGAGCCTGGTACCTGTCATCCAGCAGCTCTGAGCAAAATAGGCAGGAAGAATGGTGTTTGTGGGTAAATAAGATTCTGCCTCATAAGTGCCAGAAACAAATAGAAGATTATTTTTAAGTAGTGAGAAGTAATTAGAGAATTTATAATTTCATAATTATATAATTTATACTTGCTTAAATCCTAAAATATAGTAAAGGCTCCAAAAATGTTAGGGTTGACATCTCAGCTCTACCATTCACTAGCCATCATCTTTTGGGCAAGTCAATTAGCTTGTCTGGGCATCAGTTTTCTGATTTGCAAAATGGTAGTGATAGTACCTCCTTTTGTAGGTTTGTTGTGAGAATCAAAGAGTAATGCATGTGAAATTGAGAAGTGCTATCCAAATGCTAGTTGTGGTCTCTCAGGATTGTGTCCCCGCAGCTTTGGGACAACAGAAAGGGGAATCCATTTCTTAAGAGGGAGTCACCCTCAGGCACTCTGTCCAGTGCCTCCCCATCCCCAAACCTCCCTTCCCACAGGACTACGAGTGAGTTTGTAGTTGTGAATATTTGTTGCACATGTTCCCAGAAAGGAAGGACATTCAGTGAGAGGACTGACCGCCCCCATATCTCTTTTAAATTATGTCATCTTCTTATAAGCTTTCTCCCCATTTCATTTCTCAAATGAAATTTGATTTGCTTTGCTTAAGTCCTGGCGAAAAGCTCGAGCTAGTGGTTCTCAGCTCTGGAACTATAATAATATAGCAGGGGCTTTATAAGACTATCCGTGCTCAGAACTCCACCCTGGCCCCACGAGGTCAGAAACTCAGGGGGTGCAGCCAGGTATGGACACTTTTCACAGCTCCCCGGGTAATTCTACTAGTAGAATGGAGCCAGCGTTGAGAACAACCGACTTAGGTTAGATGGCCCTTCTGGCTCCTTTCAGTAGAGAACCTGCGATTTCCCCACCAGGTGTTGTGGAAACACCAGCTGGCGGGTGTGAAGTCTGCTTTGTGGTAGAGACAGATGGTGAATGGGGGTGGTGGTGGAATAAAGTCCTAGGACGGAACTCTTTAGCTGAGAGACACAAAGCAAAATATCATTGCCAAGTAGGCACAGGAGTTCGTCCCATTAGCAGTTCCCCTTTCCTTCAATCCCAGGGAGGTGGAAATGATGAAAAATATTTTGAAAAACTAAAAAAG